GAATAAAACGAGAATCAATATACGTAGTCTTGTATTTACACGAGCACCCAAGTGGTCATTGGCCATTTTTAAAAAGTCCAAAAATTAAAAAAATCTCATTGTGTATATCTTAATTCTATTATAAGATATAAACTCCTTGATTCCAACTTACTACGTTGATTTTATCCTTGACGCATCCGTTATGGCCAAAGTGTAAATGTTTACCTATGTCACATTACGCAAACGCCCAGTACTAAGCACCGCACAATGCATGTCCTAACTTTAGGCGTTACTTAAAGTCGTTAGCTGGCTCCTTGTCATTGGTGACACAAATTTTCACCTTTGACAATGCCCAAATATTTAGGTGTCAGATTTGGGCGTCTCCTAAGTTTAGTGAAAACTGGCATCTGTCTTACAAAACCATATTACATTAGAAGGTTTTGGGTACGAACAAGTTCCAAGTGATATTCAATTAAACCCCTAAGTTTCCCAACTATCTGTAACTATCCATTATCCTAACCACACTTACAGCCAGTTGCAGAAAAGTCCATTAAAATTGTCAGTAGTTTAAAGTGGCATTACCCATACAAATTTGACACATATTAGAGCTTAAAGGCGACATTAAACATTAATGGACGTTTGTGCAACTGAGCGTTAATTAATAGGACTGAATTTAATATTCGAAAAAAATGTGATCTCCTTACAGAGTAAATGAAGTACCCATCTGTTAATTTGTATTTATATTTCATACGAAAACATGTTACATTATTATCATTCTCTTTGTGTTTCATAAGTATGTCGAATTGAAAATGTGCACGGCGTTGAAAGAAACTGTGTACAAAATAATATAATGGCTTCATTTCTCAATTCATTAAATAAGAATGTCGATGTAACAATCACTATTTTTACTCTTGTATATAGTAATTTCAAAAATAAGAGAATATTTTTGACAGTTTTGTGGGATTGTCTTCTATGATAAATAACGCTTACTTAAAAGAAAAATACGATGAAATTTTCAATTTGTCTTTCATTATTGAATCGTACGCAAGTTATTTCAACGATTTAAAACAATAATTAAAACAATTTGAGATATAAAACGACAACAGAAATGTATGTATAAAAAGTTTTTTCTGTGTATCATAACATAATACAAACAGACGCACTACAATCTGCTAAAAATTCCTTTCCATTTTTTTTTTAATAATATCAGATGTTTCGATTATTCTCATGTCTCTATAATACTTGCACTTGGTTTCATTGTTGTTTTAGCGGACTCCAAATACGAAAAAGGAGGTGTTATGTTCGAGTGTGTATATTTTTTTTAGTGCACCGTTCTCCGCAAATTGTAATCCGATTTTCAATTTATTTTATTCGAATGGTGTTGATGTGAAATAAAACAAAATATATATTAAAATTTAGATTTATTTCACTGTTATCTATCACACACAGCACCCGGATGATATAACAATTTGAAAATAATACAAGCTTTCCGCCAGCGGCTACGCCCGTATGGTCTTGTATCATACATTATTATAAAACCTAACTTTTGAATCACCTATGAATGAAAAAAAAAATTACATTATTCACGTTAACTTAAAAATCATGTAGGTGAACAAGTACAAATTTTATTATGTATTTTTAAAAACAAAGAACAGGAACTTAACGAATTATCGCCTACGCAACCATCCGTAGAAAATCCTTTCTGCAGCTTTTATTTCATATATACTTTGTTTTATAATATCTAGGGATTGTTTTCTTTATCTATGATTTGTTGTTTTCGATTTGTTGTTATAAATTATGATTCATTTCTATCCATAATGTGTTTACACAAACTTACCCACATTGTAAAGGATAGCAACGTTTGCAGAAATGGATCGTGATATTCCTCACACGTGTCAGTATTACATCATTATCTTGATGTATAACGTCAATCGTGAAAGATTTATTGAGTCTGTTCTAAACATGTGAGCTGACCTAATGTTTTGTGCTTTTAATTGGTCACATATAACCTGAGCCTACCTAACCTGAGGAGCTCTAAAGCGCAGCGCAATCTGTGCAGCGGAAGCAATTTTTGCAAGGACGGGTATAAATGGGCGACTAAATATTTATTGTATCCAGCTCGGCCCTGCTTCGGAAGACACGTTAAGCCATTGGTTCTGACTGCAGTGGCAAACGTAAACGCTCACAAATTGGCAGTGAACTCGAGCGGTGGGTCATGGTCTATTCTCCCTATTCGATTCCATCTTTAGGGCAGGCTTGTGTTTGTGATTGGATATAACCTAAATAAATTTTGCCAGTGTCTAGTATTGGCAAAAAAAAATTGCGGAATTGGAAGATTGCGGAGTAGGCAGAGAGTTAGACATTCAAAAGTTGCTCGCTTCAATTCAAGAATGATACTAACAGTTCATTCTTGAATTGTGTGTTCAGTTTCTTCATCCTTATCTTTTACAGTTTTGACATTTTTTCATCCATCATTCTTGGCACATGTCTGAATATTTGCTACTGATGTACGGAACATTGTAGTAATGTATTGTATTGTAGTAGATGTACGACCCCCTTATTTTGTAACTCTGGCAATTTCTGAGGACCACCGGTAGAAATTGTTCACAGAGCACTGTGGGCAAGCGGTCTTCGCGTGGTTTTGGTATTCTATAATTAATTTTTAGGATTCCCTACCCAAAGGGTAAAATAGGAAAGGTAATGCTATTATTAAGACTTCGCTGTTCACCAGGCTGTATCTCATGAAACGTGAAAGTTAGACAGTTGAAATTCAACAACAAATATTAAAGAACCGAATAAAATAAATATTTAAGGGAGCTCCCATACAACAGACGTAATTTTTAAAAAGACAACAGGTAGACGCTTGAAATATCGGAATTTGTATTTATATAGTAAATTCAAAAATAAATAATTAAATTAAAAATCAAGAAATATTCCTCATTTCCGTTACCCTTGGTGCGCGAGTCTAACATGCTTTTCGTTTTTTTTTAATAAATCAGTAATCCAGTAATCTATAGCACCATTTATTTCATTGGCCGTCGCAATCACCACATACATATGACCGTTCACGAGGTCGTTATACCGTTTAATTCTTTACTACACTGCATTATAGGATACTCTATGAAAGTATCACTTTTCGGGTGCTTGCGATGGATGTGGTTCTAGTGTCAACAATAAATCCAAATTACTTTGGAATTACAAAATATTGTAACCTCTATTACCTATTTGACACATTTTTTATTCTGTCCCCGTTCAATAACAATCTCGACTTATCGTTAACAAATACGAGCACCCTATCTAGGGTCAAACGATCAATGAAGTCAGAACGAACCGTTGAACTAACTTATTCTGGATCTTTGTTAGTTATTACATGATGTCAATCGACGCGGTAAATACTTATGTCTGGTAAGTGCTCAGATTAAGATTGTTAGTTAAATGCATACAGCCAGGTTTAATGGTCTAACCATCTTTTATCAAAGCATAGCAAAAGAGGTAGCCCTAGTTATAGGATTTTTTTATGGGCTCACTATTGATCTTCATCCAGCCCAAGGACATTAAAGAGGTCTACGGTGGGACGAGCTTGCACAGAAGGATTCATTCACTCTTGCCTTAAATAAGTCTGGGTTATCAGCATACGGGAATATAAACGCCGGCAGGGAGTTCCATTCCTTGGTAGAGCACAGTAAAAATATGAAATCAAGGGCTTAGGATTTCTTTGGTCCATAAAGTTCATAAGGAAGTAATACAGTTAGCTAGCTTTCTTAGGCGGTATGTTGTGGTAACATAAACTTTACCTGCAATAAAATAAACAGAGACACGATAAACGGCGATAGGTATTATATCTTGTATAAGCGCCGCAGTCTCGCAAGGGTCTGTCAAGCGATGGATGACCAAAAAATTATTAACTCCGTCTTTCGTTCACTCGATGGTCCCGGCTACATTTGCGTTAATACCCTCCAATCTGCATTAGGCCAGCATGGAGGGATATGGTCATCCATAAGGAATACAGTGGGGACGTAATAGGGCTAATATATTACACAATGTAAGGGCTGATGATGATGTTTTGTGTTGTTTCTATTCCACAATACAAGAACTCAAATCGGAGCAATGTGTGAAGTATAATCGTATTTTTAATTTATACTAGGACTTGCGTTTTTTTTGTTACGGTAAACGTAACTTAACTTAAAACTTGTGCGTTAGCAGAATCATCATCATCATCACCAGCGCTTTTACGTCCCCACTGCAGGGGCTCAGGCCTTCCTTATGGATGGTTAAGTAGGATGGGTCATAACCCTGCAAAAAGCAAATGCAGCCGGGACCAACGGCTTAACATGCCTTCCGAAGCACGGAGTAACTCTAGATAATAATATTTTGATCACCCATCCCGTGACCGACCCTTGCGAAAGTTGCTTAACGATTACGATCGCGGCCCGCGGCGCTTATCCACTACGCCACCGAGCTACTCTTTTCTACTCTATTAGCAGAATAACTTATCGCTGTGAAGCCCTTTGAGTGTGTAAATGTGATCTTTCAAATGATAAATTACTTGATGTGCGCAATACTTGCCACAAACTACGAGTATATACCTACTATAGTTCCGATTGTCCTTTGGTTATAATATTAGTTTGTTTGTAACAAACTATAACACTTTATCATAAATTATTTTTGTTTTAAATTATTATAAATTGTAATCTTTGAAGGAGATTTTTGTCTACAGTTATGCGGAAGGCCTCGTATTGCTATTGCATACATATGAACTATTTATCAGTTGTGGATAAAAAGAGGTGAAAGGTTAAATTTGAAGGTAGATCTTGGTCTTAGTCCTAAATTGAAATAGATAAGAATTTTATCCTAAAAACGCCATCTTTTATTCGTTAAACAAAACTTTTCTTCTTATTTAATAATTAATTTATTTGGAAATCTTCACACCTTTGTTACTTGGCATAATTTATTATTATTATTATTATTATTATTGTATAATCGGACGTGCTGGTGACTGTATATAATTGGTCTTTTTTCAGCGGCACTGGGCGACTTAGGTGGCAGCGGAACGAGCTCCTCCTCCTCCCACATGTCGCCTGGATGGCAGGTCAACGACCTCGACTTGGACCTTCCTGGGGAGCTGAGTATGAAGTGAGTATAGTCGTAGTATACCATACTAAAGTAGATACACATATTATTCAAAAATTTTATGGATCTTCCGTCGAGTGTGAAAGGTTAAATGCCATATTATATAGGGTTTTTAGTGAAACACCAGCATTATCGACTGTCCTGCCGTTCGTATAAAGGGTGCAATGACTTGGTTTTGCTACTTTTGAGTTAATCACAATTAAAGATTTAATTTGTACTTTATTTGTATCTTTGACAAGCAAAGGAATATGTCATATGTAATCAAAACTACTCTTAATAAAAAAAAATCATTTATATTTGATCTTTGGGTTTTAACATAACTGAACACTCGACACAAAATGTTTTTCAAAGTTTTCATTGTCCTATTTTTTCAATTCACTTTTTGTTGAGGCCGCCTTAAATATCTAATAATTGTTGTTGTTGCAACAATAAATATATATCATCTGTAAAATTTTCTACTGTCTAGCTATTACGGTTCATGAAATATATCTTGGTGAGAGACCGACGGACAGACAGTTAGGTAGACAGATGGACTTTTTTACCGTGACAAGGGTAAGGAATAACAATGGACCAACCTAATTCGGTTTTGAGATTCAGCATTTATGCGAAAAGGTCTGTTAATGAAGGCCTTATTAATTTTAATATAGCTGTAAATTTTACTGTTATACAGTAATATATGTAGTCGAATTAGACCTTCACATAATAGGTATTCGAATATTTGAACATAGCTCACCAAATTAGGATTACTTAAATTTATCATTAGCATATCTACATTCACAGTGAAGTAAATGTACAGACGGAGATTTAAAAGATCACTTATTTATTCCTTTATGGTATTTGCTTTAAACAAAAATTATGTGTCATCATTTTTATTGATATAAAATATGCACACATAGCCGTGAGTCCTTTTACAAGCATACAAAGAATCATATCTAATTTTGACCTAAAAATTTACCGAGGCGTCTAGTGATGTAGTATAACTTAAAATGTAGCTTATTTTTTACTTGTATCGTATCACGTAATAAAGTCTTATAATAAAATCAGGATAAAAATTGCGAGGCTGATAAATATTTTCAAAAGATATACTTTTTCGCTTCGGACCCTACAATGACGGTTCGCTGTACTACCTCAATGCGATTCGGACCGTAAAATGACGGTTGCTACGTTTCGTTTCATCTACTACGGAAAAATATTGTTTCATCATAAGGTTAAAAAGTGCACATTAACAATTACATTTTAATTTATTTTCACATTTACGATTCAAACTATAGAAAGCTTTTATTTGAATACATTACTTTTTAAAGTAGCTTCACAATTTTCTCGAGTTTTGACAGCTAGTACAACCTCAAAAAATTATTTATAAATTATGAATCTCCCTGGACTCCAGATGAAAAGATGTTTCGGTATTATTCTATTTTATGCAAACTCTAGTTTAATTTATGACTAATGTTAGGTAGACACGATCTTTAAAAAAAACAGGTAACAGGTCAATCAAAGTATGGAAAGTGGACATGATCCTTTATGTGCCTCTTCTTGTATATGTACATATATCTTGTATCTAATTTTATAAGGGCTCGTATACAAGTACTAAGTTGATAAGTAGGAAACTTCATTTTGAATATTAACTACGTGTATTAATTATAACGTGTATCACGTGTATATAACATTTAAAATTTAGTTAGCGGTTAACTACTCATTAACTTAATCCGTATAAACCAGCCTTATATCTATGGAAGGGTTAAACAATACATAACGTTATATTGTTATTTGTTATTGTGTGTTAAATGCAACAGTTCTTGTTACAACAGTGATGCGCTGCTGTCACTGCCGTCGCTGGCGGTATTCAAACAGGAGGCGCCGTCTCCTACTGGCGCTGTGTTGTCCCCGCCGCGACGCGCGTGGCCACGACGTATCGATGACAGACAGGTCAGTTGTAACGTCAAATATTTTAAAGTAAAACCTTCTTCGAGATATGAATAAAGACGCGATGTTCATCGCTGAAGAAGTATTATTTATTTGTAACAATGTTCGGTACCGACGAGTAATGTGTAACGAAACGTGTCTAATACACGCGTACTCCTGGACAGGTTCTTACTGATATGGCGCGAGGCGCAGTAGTTTGCTCGTTCGGTCTCCGAGGCGGAGGTAATAAAGGAATATAAATGTAATAGAATAAAATAGTAACAAAATAAAATTTGAGACAAAGATGAACATATTAGATAATTTTGGTGATAACGAAACTTACTGCTGTTGAAGTACACCACCGCGCATACCCAATCAAGTTAAAAATATAAAATAATATGTAAGTAAAATTAAGGAAAATAAATAAAGTAACAGAAATAATATCAGCGGCATTTTATTACTTGAACCTATAAATGTAAGTAAGCTTTACATACGCAAGAACACCAAAACTGAAAGTAAGAAACTTCAGAAACAATAAACACACGCAGACGTCTATTGTACGGTCGCCGATTAGATAATATTCCGTACCCGGCACTATACACATATCCTTTCATCCGTGCGCAAATATATTGCTATTGCACATTCGCACAGTATTTTACACTTTTCTATGACAAAATTACATCTAGCCAATTTTGTCTATGCCCAGCAGTGGGCGTCTCTCGGCTGAATTGATGATGATGATGATGAAAGTGAATTTAAAATGTTTATGATATCTATCAAGAGGCATAAAGGTTAATGTTTGAAATTCTTTTTGTTCGGCGACCGTGCTATAATGGGACCACGCCTCAGCGATCACTACTACATTGTCATGTTAATTTATAGTTATCACTGGCGATTGCAGTAGGAGTGACAGAAATGTCTATATTTATAGTCGAATATAAAAAAAGAGTTTCACTAAATAATTTTATCGAAAAACTAACTATAAGATCCGAGGGTACTGTGCGCACACTACTGGCCTGCTATACTGGTATTAAACTTAATTTGAAAAAAACTGTCAGTAAGCATCTACCTTTATATCATCATCATTAGCACACCAGCGTCCTCTCTGCTGGGTCATAGGCCTGCCCCACAGATGGAACCAAATAAGAAAAATACCGCTGCTTCTGTGAATAACACGCATGTCTTCATAGAATAGCACAGTTCCTCTTCTTTCCATTTTAATGCGCAGTAGAATCGACATGCCTTGCAAAAAAATACTTTGAATTTGTAATTGAAGTTGTTTCAACAAGATTCTATGCCTGATCCTCATAGCGGCTTGATGGTCAAATTGTTCTTGCTTTTTCAATTCAGCATTTTTAAAGATTTTAGTGCGTGATTTGCGCGGAATTTTGCCAATTAATATTCTACCTAAAAACTGAAAAGATGGTATTCAATTTGTTTTCAATTGAAAAGATGGTATTCAATTTGTAGGTATCGCGTGAATATAGATTCGTCCACTCAGTATTTTTTCGTAGCTCATTTTAAGTATTTTTTGTTTTTTTTTGTCATTCATAATTATTGGCGGCTTACTTCATTTTTCGCAAACATAATTTAACGCCTCTCGGTTAAGTATTAAAGTATCTCTATATATATTATTTTGTTGTCCGATGAATAATTCTTCATTAAAATATATCATTAGAAAAACCGGTTAAGCGCAAGTCGTGTAACGGTGTGCCATGCCACCGTTTGTTTTCCTAGGTTTCAGTATGCAAACTTTTTACTTTTGAAATTCAACATCATTTCATTTTAGTACTCGTCTTTCGTAATTTAAAATTTTGACTAATCAATTATACTCTTTATGGATGTCAGTTCGTAAGAAATTCTCCTATGCACAAGATGAAATTATAATACAATACAATATTAATGGTATAAATTTTACTATGTAATTTTAAAATAATTCATTTATTGTGATAAATAATGTGATATGGTGATACAAATTATATAACATATGTAACTACTAAATTGTAATCTGTATTTTGGAAGATCCAAAAGTTAACTAGAAGCCCGACAAGGGTTTTTTCTTATTACCCTTATTTAACTAATAAATATATACTCAAGCTCAGCAGCCTTATTAATTGACCCAAGCACCGAACCCGTAACAGTCGGACTCGCGCACTAAGGGTCTTGTACCATTATCCATAAAAAACTCAAAAATCACCTTTGTTGTTTTCGAAGGTGTTGTTCACAATTTTCAAGTTAAATACATTTGGGCAATTATTACCCGTAATTTTGTAAAGCCAATTTAAGTGTGATAGTTGTCTTATTAAATTCGTTATATACACTACTGCCTTAACGTTTGAATTTCTAACAACCGTTAATTGGTAGAGGGGGTTGGTACATTTGACTCTAACGAAAATTGGCAATTTGAAACTTAATAAGTCACAAATGATTAACTAAATTGAAAAATCCCTAATTTTTTTGAAAGACAAGTACACCTCACGCTGTGCTAAATTAACATTTTTTTTATCCTCAACTTTTTATGTAGGATACCCAATTCTTTACGTGTATTTAACTAACTGACTGATATTATGTACACAAGAAAACATTACGATTCCTTCACAAAAAAAGTAGTGTTCATAGTCTTAACACAAGAAATAAAAATAAACTTGCCGTTCGAAGCTTCAGACTTCAAAAAACCAGAGGATCATTTCTGGGTAAATGTATTGCTATGTTCAATAAAGTTCCACAAAATGTAATTGACCTACCCATAAATAAATTTCAAATTCATGTAAAGAATATACTTATGAGTAAAGGCTATTATAAAGTTGATGGTTATTTTAAGGATCGCAATGCATGGAATTAATAGCCTTCGCTTTCTTCTATAAAGACTAATTATATGTTCAACCTATGTCCTACAGACTTTGAAAGTTGTATTTATTATTGTGATAATACATATTATTTTGGTAATGACATGATTTATGTAAATGTCATTACTTATGATAAAGGGCTGGTAAGTTTCTTTCGCTTGTTCTTCTTGTCAGCTAAAAGACGTCCTGAACAAGTGGTAGGGGTAAAAATTTTTTTTGGACGATTCAAAAGTGCTTGTAATAGCCTACTTGAATAAAGATATTTTCATTTCATTTCACATAAATTTCGTATTTAATATTAGCGTCAACGATTGTTCAAAACATTATTTTATCCATACGTATGTCGTTTCCTTTAGGTGACGAGCATGGTGGTGGACGGACGCGAGTCTATGGACGAGAACGGTTGCCACCAGTCACCACCACACAGCACCAATATGATGCAGCCTCATTGTGAGATATATTTCTTTGATATTTATGTCTATATATTTTTATCTTTAGACCTTTTAGTGCTATATACCTTTTAGTACATTTTAGTATATTTTTAGATCTTTTAGTGCTAATTCCTTTATATAACAATACAACAACAACAACAATAAATTAATTTGCTTTGAATGTAGTTACATAAAAGATTTTAAACAATCTATAGCGAAAACATACTTGGCTGTCTCCAGCATAACAGCTTTGATGTTACGCTAAATGCTTCTACATTTGTCATTGCAAACTAAATTAAGTCTAGTTTGCGGTAACAGAATTAACATTGTGCACAAAATTAGTCGTTAAATATTTACTACTAATGTATTTTAATATTAAGAAAAGAACTATTTGATAATTATACTATTTTATTTTTGCATACAGCTAGTCCCGAGAGTATGCAATGTCAGCCGATGACGGGCGGCACTCTTATGCCAGTCACTGGCTACCACTCTCCTACTCCTCAAGAAACTAAGAGTAAGTAGTCATAATTTATTTTCTCGTTCACTCCGTGTAAATCTCACGATTGACCTGCCTAGACCAGAAACCTACTCAGTTTTTTCCGAAAATGAAATTTCGACTATATTCTCAACGCTAATATGACCAAAAAACTCATTTATCATTAAATTTATAATACAACAGAGGTAGGACCTGATACCGCCTGTGATTTTAACAAAAATATATGAACAATACGAAGTTTTCTGAATTTTAGTTCATGCACAAACCGAGTAGACTTTCAGGGCTAGGCAACGTGCAGCGTTTCGTGCAGCAACGAAAGAGGCTACTTTCAAGTTTCACTATAAAAATAATTTTTACTGTCAAAACTTGGTTAAGATGGTTAAGATATTTATATTTAAAGTCTTTTATTTTAAAGGAAATCTCAACTATCATGTTTAAAAAAGAAATTTAGAAAATGGTAGCTTTTGGCTCTACCTACTTTTGATTTTGACGTACCCGTCGGCATGACCATATTAAGATTGTGAAATTGTTACTTTATTTTATTGAAATTATTATAGTAGCTGAAGGAAAGAAATATAGTACTTAACGACGATGAAATTGAAGTTGCAGTGCTTTGTGGTCTATTTGGTCTACATAAGGTGTTGTTTGATTTGTCCAGATGCTGGTCTGTTGATGTGTTCTCCGAGTAGTTCATTGGATGGGTTCCTGCATTCACCTGCACCAAGAACCGAACCCAGCTTCAAGGATGACACCAGGTAACAACACTGCTTACCTCTATTAAATTAGTTTGTTATCACAGACTTGGCATAATCTTCTTTTAACAAATAATCATACATAAGCACACGCATTTACACATTCAATTGGCATAAATATCAATTTGCCGAATGTTTATATGTTGTATTTAAAGTGTTATACTATTAAGATGATAGAATTTCTTTTGGCATAATCAGGGCTTGCAAATGGTTTGAAAAATTCCAGGTAATGAAGATTTATTGACCAGATTTTTCGAAAACACTCGCTTGGAGCAGTCTTTTCTCTAGCATCATAATCATTGTAATAATATTAGTAACCCTAGGAAAAAAGTCATTAACCGTATCCGTATAATCAAATGCACTTCCATCGTGCGTAGCAGACGTGGTGGTCTACCTCGCCCGATGCAAGTAGTTATGAGTCCCATCCATACGGTCTATATATAAGATCGGTTATTCAAAGAACCGCGATCCAGGACAATGTCCGCATTTTTTATAACTTAAAATTGTACGAGCAGTGGCGTAGCTAGGTAACCTAGGGCCCTGGGGCAAATACAAAAATGGGGTCCACTGCTATCAAAATTGGTAAGGTTTTTTGAAGTAAAATCATTAAATATATAAATACTTTAAAAATGATAAGCAACTTTATCGTCAGCTCTTTTTCGTGCATGGGCAGGTAATAAAACTATTAAACTTTAACAACATAAATTACCATTATTTTTATACTTGGTGTAGGTATTGGGCAATAAAATAAGATTCAAGGGTTTATTATATATTTATTTATTCATAGATACGTTGCACTAGCTTACTGTTATTAAACCTATTGCCATGCAAACTATTAACAAAAATTATCAATAGAAATATTTTGTCCAGAAGTATCGGGTGGTTAAATTTTAAGGGCCGATGTTGATAAAACACAAATTATTTAGGAAACTATTGTCATTTCTGTTTATTACGATAATATGGTATGGCTCAATTATGTTTGGAACAAAATATCGGCCAAATGGCCCCCGCGACCTCGGCGGCACACCTCCATCCTATGGTCCAAATTTTCGAAGAAAATCATCTTCAGTGATGAGGTTCTTAATTTTCACCTCAGTGGATTCGTCAATAAACAGAATTTCCGCATTTGGGCGAATGATAATCCAAGAATGATTGTCGAAAAACCAATGCACCCACAAAGAGTGACTGTTTGGTGCGGTTTATGTGCTGGCGGCAACATCGGGCCGTATTTAAAAATGACAAAAAACATCACGTAATTAATGGACGGCCCCCTACCGCATTTGTATTTTTCACGGTATTTTGAGTTATATAGTGAATAGCCGAAATCTATAGATTTTTTTACTTAACTATGTATACATACTATGTACTACGTAACTATGTAATCAAATAAAATTGAACTTTTGTATGGACCAGTATAAAAAATGTATTGACATACGCTTACTTACTCCTGATACATTAACTTATTAACTATTCTCGAAAAAAATCTTGACTCGAAGTTCACAATCGCGAATCACAAAAACGCATATCAATAAATAATAAATAATAATATGCAGATATGGATATCCGACAAATTGATGAAAACATTAATAACTTTGTCAACCCACACAAATAATTTAGGGGAATGCCCTTTTTATAACTTTGGAATTTCTCACAACTGAGTTGCCATGATTAAACTCGAGTTGTCATATTTATTTTGAAAATGGGAAAAATTTTCAAAAGTTGAGTTCGATTGAGATTTTCTGGTAAAGATTCGAGGGCCCCCTGAGCTTGAGGGCCCCGGGGCACTGCCCCGCCTAGCCCCTTTGTAGCTACGCCACTGCGTACGAGTACGACGCACACCGTTTATTTTGTTATAGGTTCCAGTATATTATGCGCTTTTCTTAATTTTTAAAAACATATCATGTTTATTCTGAACGTAAGTCAAAAAAAATATTGCAACAGCAATACGTTTATTATTTAAATATTAATTTAATAGGAAAGTCTAAAGTAAAAAGTGAATAAACTGTAATTTGTGAATCTAGGATCTATCTTCTAAGAAAAACCCAGAAATACATTTTTTATTTTTACCGTAAATATACTTGTCAAGTCATTTAACTATCAACATCTTAAGCCCGGACCCGTTACAAACTTCGCACCTTCGCTAGCGCTAGGCGTCATACACAGCGACCGCCACTATGAAGTGGAAATATTGGTGTGGATCTAATTTTTTTTTATCTAATATGGATCTTATTCTTGGATCCGAGATGGATCTTTTTGTGCGCATGAGATTGCTTTAATGTGCACGCTCATTATTAGCGAAAGTAATAACTGCTTGAGTAATTGGTCAGTCCAGTTAGGTCTCGGGTAACTTTATGGTTATAATGGTTAAAGCAGTCGCATGGATTGCAAAAGGTTGTACGTACGAGACCTATATAGAAGTACTTGAAAGAGGTGATTTTAATTATTACACTGATTGTTTCGCAGTTCATATATGGCTGCAAGACGGCTCAAGAAATCATATTTCTTGTATTGTAACATATATGAAATAATTGTTGACAGGTTCCAGTATGTGTTGGCCGCCGCCACGTCTATAGCGACTAAACAAAATGAGGAGACCCTCACGTATCTGAACCAGGGGCAGCCGTATGAGATCAAACTCAAGAAACTAGGGGACCTCTCACATTACAAGGGGAAGCTGTTGAAGGTTAGTTTGGTTTTCCTGCCCTCCCCCAGGGGATACTCGCAGCGTGATTTGCCGGGTAGACCAGGACGGGGGCGGGGTAGGAGCGTTCTGGTTTAAGGCTGAAGGTTGTATAAAAAAGTAAGAAAAGCCTAGTGGTTAAAATTGGCTGATTGAATGTTAAAAAACTATCTTAATACTTTCATAAAATAATATTAAACCATTATCAGATTTATTTCTCTTTAAAACGTGTAATTAAATAAATGAAAAAACATATTTTTATTCATTAATTTAAATTGTTTCATTTTGGGCCGTGACGTCACATTTCAATATTCATCAGTACTGGTTGAAAGCTGGACGTTGATGTTTAGATTATTTATTGAAATGTGACATCACACGATTATTGTTGATATCGGCCCTAGTTTTTATAGAGTCTTATTGCTAAAACTATTTCATGTTTTGTTGTCATACAGAGTGTAATAAAGATATGCTTCCACGAGCGTCGACTGCAGTATATGGAAAGGGAGCAGATTGCGCAGTGGCACGCTGAAAGACCCACCGAAAGGATTATAGAGGTGACTGATTCATTAGTATCGTGAGAACTTCACTGCAAAAAGTCGAATATAAATGTTTTAATTTTTTTTATTTATTTCATGAGTTTGTTAATGTACAACATGATGAATTAATACATTTTTGATACTTATGACACGTAGATAGTTTCTGATATAGGTAATGAAACGTAAAAATATGTCTACAAAAATTCAATGCTATGGTTACCCTATTGTCACTGATTCGATGTCGCTATATAATTAAAGTTGGTTTGATTTTCGTAATAAAAGCTTTATAATATTATAGTGGAATACTTTTACTTGGTTAATTTTCATCACTGATATATACTAAATTTTATTAATAAAATTGTGGCAGTTATGTTGCCCTTTGCGACGAATACAGTTACACGATGTTGCTACTTTCGAAGTGCCAGTTTAGACTCCCGGTCGGGTCAATATCGAAAACAAACTTTTTTATACTGTTTTTTTTTTCTTTATTCTGTGTAACAGTGATTACTTCGTTACTTGACGAAACATGCACTGAATAATATATTAAAATATCTGAATATTATGTATACAACCCGTATGAAATGATATCTGAAGGTTTTTTCCATTTCTCCGAAAACGAAATTTCGTTTTTTTTTTGCGAAATGCTAATATGACTCGAAAGAATTCGATAATTTATGATGCAACGGAGTAAAGACCTAACACTGCCTCTGATGTACAAATAGTCTTCACAAATAAGATTTCAGACATATGTATTGGGCCTGTTTAAATGATAAATTTCAGCTAATTAAACTGCAAAAATTTAAGAACCAAATATATTCAAGCAATATATATATTAATAGCTTTCAACCAGCGGCTTCGCCCGCGTGGTCCCTAAGAAACTGTTTATTTGGATATCGATTTATATCATGACATGGATATAATTACAGTGACAAATTGAATAGTAAACAATGGTTACTATAGAAATGTTTTAATTCCTTATACAAACTTCCACTCCCATTTTCATCCTTTTATTTGCTGTTTTTCGGGGTAAAATATAGCCTACGTTCACCAAATATGATGTAGTAGTGGGTGAAAGAATTTTTTAAATCGGTCCAATAGTTTCGGATCCTATTCTATGCAAAGAAACTGATAAACAAACAATCAATCAAATATTTCTTTTTTATAATAGTATAGATAAATGAATGAACGCCACCGTCACTGTAAGAAAAACATTCATTATAAATTTATTTTAATTTTGCTAAATTAACTTGGGCTATTCATCTGTGGATTACAAGAAATGAAACGCGTGCGGCCTTGATGGAGCTTCATGTGACGTCACATTTCAATAAACTTAACTTACGTCTTTCAACAAAATTATAAGAACGATCGAAATTTTCTGAATTTTTGTTCCAGGATAATAGACCCTCAGATGGCGATCTAATTCTTATTATAATGTAACATAATTAGTTATTTGTTTGTTGTCAGTTGGATGTACCGCTATCGTACGGCGTAACTCGTGTGGAACAACCTGCATCGTTGAACGCTCTGAACGTGTACTGGGATCCAACTAAGGACGTCGGTGTTTACATCAAAGTGAGTAGTACATTTAACACGTTTAGAGGTTATATTCCAATGCTCTGATTAAATTTAACAACACGTTAAGAATTTATGCGGCAGTTTCTTTTCGGGGATTTAAAAAAAAAAACTTTTTATTTAAAGAGTCAGTGACAGTCTAACCGTATTATAAACATGGACTAACATTAGTGCTAGGTATAAACCATTATTCGACTGAAATAAGTGTACGCTTCTCAATTTGACGTTTTTTTGTCATTGTCAATTTTCTATCTACTAAATCAAGTATTTATAGACTATAATAAATAATAAGTCGATTTGAGTTTAAAATGTGTATATAAGAACGCTTAAAGTGTGAGAGGGAGAGAAGATGGGATTCAGGAAAAGAAGAGGAAAGGTATTACGATAGAATAACGTCAATAAAAATTAGGTCGATGGTGATTTTCGGAAACTTGAACTTACGGTTTGATACATCCGTATAATGGTTCTCGGAAACTTGAATTTGAAACATTAAAAAATATCAAAAAATTTAATTATTTTTGATGAAAAAATCTCAATATCAGTGAAAAATCTCAATAATATTTAATAATATTTGAAGAACAATAATGGTTCAAGAATAATTAATTCTGATTGATGTTTTTTTTTAAATCATCGACATCAGAGTCCGGTACGATATCGCATTCTATATACTTTTTTAAATCAAAAATATCATTGAAAATTCATTATTTTTGAAGAATAATAATAACGGATGTATTAAACCGTCAGTTCACGTTTCCGAGAATCACCCAGATAATGATGAATTGTTGTGTTAATACCAATATAATACCAGGTGAACTGCATATCTACCGAGTTCACCGCTAAGAAGCATGGTGGCGAGAAAGGAGTACCATTCCGCATACAAGTTGAAACTTATCTGGCTACAGAGGAGCATAATAGATTGCATGCAGCCGCCTGCCAAATCAAGGTATATTTTCAATTTGTAGTCCAACACTTACTGAATGATGTAGTTAGATGTTACTTTTAGAGAAATCATAACAATACAGAATTGGCCACTTGACAGTTGCAAAACAAATTATGAATTATGTTGGTAATGCTAACTTATATGTAAACAATTTAACATAAATTGTAAGTTTTACTTGGGATTTATAGTCCGTGGATCACAAGAATCCAAAACCGGGTGGCCGTAACGGAGCATCGTGTGACGTCACATTTCAATAAACTACACATCAACGTCTTTGATGCGGGTGCAACCAGTACTCATGTCACTTCATTAAATGAAATGTGACGGCACGGCTCGAAATGTCACGTGACTGATTGTGTTCTCGGGACAATTTAAATGAATGTATAAAAATATGTTTATCCTTTAGTTGATAACAGTTGAATTTTGATAATTTGAAAGTTTTGTAATACTTTTACCTTAACAATGAAGTGACCAATTCTGGCATTATAATTTTTATTTTTGATTAGTACAGTCTTATACTCATTTCATTGTTTAGGTATTCAAATTGAAGGGAGCTGATCGCAAACACAAACAGGACAGGGAGAAAGTGATGCGGCGGCCGAGGCCTGATCTGGACAAGTACCAGCCTGGATGCGACGCCACAGTACTCACCACGGTATACATGACGGCTTTGATACCCGAACCGGTCGGTGTAGAAATATTAGGACGTATTACTGAAAGTTTGTGTCGCCAGATTCTAGCACTAGCACATGTAGTAAACAGTTTTTTTTTTATAAATCTCAAACGTCATTCACAGAGTAGTGAGTAAAAGAGTAAAGTAATAGTGAGTATAGTTACAATTTCATATGTTTAAAAAGAGTGTAATATTGTTCAATATACATAATCATTACATATTTGGTCGTAAGATGGGAGGGAATCATTAATTTCCGAGAAGAGATTTTCGATGCTTTTTCGAAGTTCGAAGAAAGAGTGTTTGCTTACTACATGCGCTAGTGCTGCCATCTACGGCGAGTTTTTGTAATATTAGCTTGCAATGTATGTATTTTCGTCAAATCTTGCAACGGAATTAAAAGGGGTTTTTATAAGTACAGGTTCAGTTTAGATGAAATTTCATGGTTAGATACGTTTTATAATTTCAAATCTAATATCAATGTTCAGGAAATCCACCGAAAGAAATATTTATTCATATATTTTAAACTTTCGAATAAGATTAAATTTTGTTACAATTAATAATAATAATCATTTCATGTCTTTACATATTAAATAAGACAGTTTTATAAAAAGAAAACATTAAAATAGAGAAAGGAAACAGCTTTGAACTCGATCGCCAAAAGAATTGAGTGAGCGAGTTATAGCATTGTAAATGTAAAATTGATCTAATATAATGACATTCTTTCTGATATAATATAAATGGAAAGAAGACACTATCAAAAATTATATCTTTCAATATTTAAATTTGTTTCCTAGTTATCCATCGACGCCTTGATGCCGCCACCGTCTCTGGTGGCCTCCTCACCACCGTACTCACCTCAACTATGGTAAGTAAAATAATTTTATTGAAATAAATTACTGAATCTGTGACATTTTTACACTTCTATGTACACATATACTATTTAAATTATGCACTTCAGCTATATTCGTCAAGCTTCGGCAATCCTAATGTATTTTAAAGATCTATATAGAGTTGTTATTATATAATTAATCATTTCGCTTAAATTTAGATTAGGTCAGCCAATTTAAAAATAAAAGTATACTATGTTTCTTGAACTTTATTAAAATATCCATTTGCAGACTTTTTAAAAACATTAGCTGTTAAAAAGTACAATTACACATTGTATATTATTTCACGGGACTGACCGCTTATGCCCGTCTAGTGTATTTCCCACTTTAATCGAATAATTGAAAATAATAAAATATCATTATTTAAATATTTTATGTGATGTTGTTCGCTGATAACGGGTTTTTGTTTATCGCGCACCCATTTTTCGAATCAGTCTTGGAATTATAAGGGAATAATGTAGCTTGGAGGTATAGATTATTATTCATCGTCTTTCAAACAAAAACTGGTTATTGCAGAAAAACATATCTGGTTAACACACGATTCATATGATCGTTGTTGTATGTTTACTTAGGATACAAATTCGTATCCAAAGTTAGCATACCCTTAAGGTCGGTTAAAATCTGACCGAAATTCCGTCAAGCTTCTCACGGAAGTGCGTTAAATGCATTAATTAGTACATTATATTAATTATGAACATATTTCGAGTGTGCAGGGTTGACTGTCATATTATATTCTTAGTGCTGACATTCCGTGGCCGACGAGACATTATGCCTCGCCCGTCCGTCTATCTTCTTAAATTAAAAAGTCGGACTTTGCGGGCTCTTGCCCGTACTTTACCTTCTTTAATAGCCGAATATCACTTTTAATGATAATCACTTTTAATATAATAAAAAATCACACAGGTTATAATTGTTTGCACATCACACATTACCCAGTTTGTAAACCTAAATCATTAATCAGGGATTTTGGGATGAAAATATGTTAGGGGATACTGTATAAAGAAAGGCAAAAATTAGCCATTCTTAATTTTAATTTTGCTGTAGTATGCCTATTTTTTCAATTTTTAATAAATAAATATATCGAAATACCAGACTTGACAGATTTTTTATGTATGTTTTTTTTTTCTGGCTAAATCTTACCTATATCTATATATTAATACAT